CCGGCTTTTTTCTTTTTGCTTATGTGGTGCTGAGGAATCGAACCCAGGGCCTCATGCATGCAAGGCAAGCACTCTACCACTGAGCCACCTTCCCAGCCCGAGACCTGCAGTTCTAAGCCAGCCTGGGCAGGAAAAATCTGTGATACTCTTATCTCCGATTAACTACAAAAAGATAGAAGGAGAGCTAGAGTTCAAATAGTAGAGTGCCAGCCTTGAGCACAAGAAAACTCAAGGACAGCACCCCAGACCCTGAGTTCAAGTCCCAGTACTAACAAAAAAAAGTTGGAAAAGAAGCCATGACTCAAGTGGTAGAGAGCTAGTCATGAGTGGAAAAAACTGAGCAAGAAGAGCACAGGCTCTTTTTGACCCAATAATGGCCAAAAAACAAAACTATGCTCAAATGGCGGCATAGGTCAGTGGTAGAGCACTTGTCTGCTATGTGCAAGTCTCTGGGTTTCATCCCCAGTATCACAAATAATAGCAGTAATAACAACAACAATGCTCAATATATTTCAGTATATTATTTTAACTAACATGAATTTCTCAAATTCTAAATAATCTAGATCTCAGAATAATCATACAGACACTGATATAATATTATGGTTACATACCTGACAACATACTAAGAAAATAAAGAGGGTTATAGCAGTCCATAGTACCTTCTCTCTAAACTGGATCTGTACAACAAAAAGAAACAATGATCAATTCATAGCAAGAAAAACTAAATGTAAAGTAAAAATTCAACTGATCAAGGATGTTCCTAATATTTATTCTTAAAATGTCTACTTCATCCTTGCTGTGACAGCTAAAATAAATAGCTATACTTCTTAAACAAAAGTCTCCACTTTTGAAAAAGATAGTTTAAGTGCAGGCAGTTCCAATGTGTATTTGTCAAGAGTAAATGAAAATGAGTAAAATGAAGAGGAGACAAAGTATATACAAGCCCAGTATACATGTTTCAGTTAACAATTCTACCACAAAAATCTAGGGCTGTTGGTCTATTAGACAGTGTACAACATTACACAGGCAATCCTAAGACAGTTCATAAACTAAGATACTAGGGTTTTGGGATTAACTGTAACTAGAACAACTATCCTTGCCATCTCAAATCATTAAAAATGAAAATAGTAAGTTTTACCTATCTGTTTGTATGTTTCTACATGTTAATTTCATGACAAATGGATAGTACAGGAATGTTTAGGAACTGGCCAGTTTGAGATCAGTAATTTTTCTTAAATTAAAATATTCTAGTCCCGGGTTGGGAAGTCCCGGTGGTAGAGTTCTTGCCTTGCATGCATGAGGCCCTGGGTTCGATTCCTCAGCACCACATAAGCAGAAGAAAAAAAAAGCCAGAAGTGGCGCTGTGGCTCAAATGTTAGAGTGCTAGCCTTGAGCTGAAGGGCTGAGGGACAGCGCCCAGGCCCAGAGTTCAGGCCCCACGACCGGACCAAAAATATTCTAGTCCCAATGAGGGAAGAATGATTTCATTCAGTTCAATACCTTTTATCCTATCATTTATCTGTCCAATGTATAAGTCAATAAATGGGAAGTATCTACTTGAACCACAACAATTCATTTGTGTAAGAGTCAGGACTCTTCAAAACCAACCCAGCAGATGGGGCCACTCCCATCCCAGCAGATCCACATTATCAGCAGGCATCACTGACCCTGCAGTCCAGGACTACCACGGATGGGAGCCTACTACTTCTTAACTAACACACAGATACTACAGATACACTTAGTATGCCTTCATTTTTGAAGGCATGACAAACCTATCAAGACTTAAGCAGGGCTATACTAGTTACAATCACTTCATTCTCTTACAAGAAGCAAGTAGGTGATTATTTTTATCCAGAAAAGGTTTGGGGAAATTAAATCTATCTTGCTAGTTTGACAAGGAAAGTCATCTAGATATTCTCAATATTACTAAAACAGTATACTTACTTTCCTTTCAGGTTTCTGAATTTCTGGTAGAACTGCACAGAAAGGTTTTATAACTTCTAAAAATTTGACTGTAAAAAAGAAAGTAAACAAGTGTCCCTATTATAAATGTATATCTTTTTACAGAATCAAATACAAATTTTAACTCTGAACAGCAATTTTTCCCATTCTCTTAAATATCATGATGCCTTTTATTTCAAATGAATACATAAAGAATCAGAAATCAACAGACAGAACTCAAATGGTTTGAGGGCTAATCAGTAGAATCAAGAGTACTTTTACCCAGGCTCGGAAGGTGGCTCAGTGGTAGAGTGCTTGCTTTGCATGCATGAGGCCCTGGGTTCCATTCTTCAGCACCATATAAGCAGAAAAGGCCAGAAGTGGCACTATGGCCCAAGTAGTAGAGGGCTAGCCTTGAGCTAATGAGCACCCAGGCCCAGAGTTCAGGCCCCATGACCAACAAAAAAAAAAAAGTACCAGGGCTGGGAAGATAGCTCAGTGGTAGAGTGCTTGCCTTGCATGCATGAGGCGTTGGGTTCGATTCCTCAGCACCACATAAGCAGAAAAAGCTGAAAGTGCTGCTGTGGCTCAAGTGGTAGAGCACTTGAGCTGAAGAGCTTAAGGACAGTGCCCAGGCCCAGAGTTTAGGCCCCACAACCAGCCAAAAACAAAAAAAAGTACCTTTACCCTAATTTTGCTTCTTTATGCTTATATTCAATCCCCATATACACAGAAAAGGAATGTTTAAGATCACCACAATGTCCAAAAAGAGAAAATACAGTTCACGAGGTCCTAGGAGGGCAGGGCATTATGGAAGAAAACTGAGAGATGGACTAGAGCAGGAGAGGAAGACAAAAAACTGATTTAGCCCAAGAAAGGACTGGAGTCACCTGCTATAGTTAACTTTGTAACGACTACAAATCTCTACATCATTTCATTTACAACTTGGCCATCCTCCTACATAATATCAAAATACTTATTTATATACAAGATCAGCCCTGAGAGTGACAATTACATTTAATGAGACAGTACTGCCTAGGCTACTGTTACAGCATATCAAAGTAAAATAAAGCAAGATTGTTTCAGGGTAGATACTATCTCCTGGCTTAAGTCCTGCTAAGGACTAGAGGACAAAGATGATCATCTTTTAAGCTCCAGTCCTTCTGCCAGAGTGTAATGTGCAGCAACACAAGCCATAGCTGCTATTAATTAGCATCTTCTTCACTACAGACACTAATACCCTGAAACTGCTTTAACTCTGATATGAGTAACTACACCTGCAGTTAGCCAAAAGCTGGCCACAAGGGGCTGGGTTAGAGCGCTTGCCTTGCATGCATGAGGCCCTGGGTTCTATTCCTCAGCACCACATAAACAAAAAGAAAAAAGCCAAAAGTGGTGCTGTGGCTCAAGTGGTAGAGCGCTAGCCTTGAGCTGAAGAGCTGAGGGACAGCGCCCAGGCCCAGAGTTCAGGCCCCACGACTGGATCCAAAAAAAAAGCTGGCCACACTACCCTTCTTTCCTTCTTTTCGCTCCCTCCCTCCTAGTACTGAGGATGGACGGACAGACAGACCTCTGAGTCTGGTGGATGCTGGGCAAGCACTGAGCTATTACACCACCGCCACCCCCAGCCTATCTATACCATTAAAAAAAAAAAAAAAAACTCACAAGGATGGCTGGCGGAGATGTCTGCAGTTTGGACTATTTGCAAAGTAAATCTGAATTATAAAAGTGCATTCTTCATCTCTAGTGCATAACAATGATCCAATCGACATCAGGAAACTTCCTAGAATCTCTTCACCTTTTTTTTTTTTTTACTGTCACACCTGAGTCTAGGTCACTCTTGGAGACTTCTTGGACATTTTATAATTTGTACTGGGGTATTCGCGTTCAAGCAACGCTTTTGTCTGTTATTTGTCTATCCTTGTGTTGCAGAAATCGACCGTTATGGGTAAATTCAAAGCAAAGGATCTCTTCTACCTCCTTCTAAGCTAACCCCAATGTCCACTAGTTGGCCAACTGGTGCAAAGCTTGTGCATGCAGTTATCCATTCATCCTACAGCTCGTCAAGATCTATGTAATATACCTGGGGGATGAATTTTTGCAAAGGGCCTTCCTAGGGTCCCCACAATACAGGCCTCGTCCCTAAGGCTTACACAACCCTGCACGGATTTCAGTAAACGCTATAGGACTGCGGGATGAACGTTTGTCCAGGAGAAGGCTGAGACACCTCACTCCCTCGTTTCCTTCTGCGTGGAACATGCCACGCATCCCTGACAAAATTAAACGAGCGCCCGGGGCGCCTTCGGCTCACCACACGCCAAGGAAGGGTGATTCGGGAATTTAACTCGTAGGAGCTTCCGAAGCTCCAGAAACGTGACAAATGGTCTAGGCTTAGGCCGGCGCCCTCACTGTCTGCCAACCCCCCACCTCCCGCCCCCGCACAGCCAGGGGTCTCCCCTCGCCACCCACGGGGCGCAAACCCCGGGCCTGGGTCCGACTCCCGCGGCCTGGCCGAGGCCTCGCACGGCTGGAGGAGCCGAGGGCCGAGGCCGCCCTCCGCAGCATCCCGGCCCGCAGGCGGGTCGACCCCGAGAGGGCGCCGGGCCCGACGCCCACGTCTCCCGCAGAGCCCCGCTCCAGCCGCCGCTACTCACTGCCCATGGCGGCGGCTGGGGAAGCCCGGCAGGGCACCGCGGCCTCGGCGCAGCCTTCGCTCGGTTCACGCGGCTCTGGCTTCGGCGCCGGCTACGGACCTGTGGTCTGGCCGGCCCCGCGCAGGCTCCGCCCCGAGTCACGTGACGCCAACTCGCTGCGCACAGCCCCGCCCCCAGACTCTGGCCGTTGGCCGACGTCCGCTGCGTTGCCATGGTCACCGCCGGCGCTGCAGCAACGCGGGCCAGGCGCCCGGAGGCGGAGCCCGCCTGTGTGGGCGTGTCCTGGAGGAGAGGCGGGGTTCAGGCCGGCCCGGGACCTGGCGGCGCAGGGGTTTTATTTAAGAGCGGTGTGCCAGGCTGGAGAGACACCAACTGGTCCCTGAAGCCTGGGGCTGAGCCTCGCAGCCGAACCAACTTTTTATATTGTATCTGCTTGGAGATCTGCAAGAAGTCGTGTCACGTCGTGTCTGGTTTGTAGCTTATGAAACTCCTCCCCGGTGCACTGCAGTCCATCTTCTCTAACTCGGATGGATGGTAGGGTTCCTGGAGCAACATCTTTCAGACTGTGTGTGGTTCGGATCGCCATCTACAATGGGTCTGTTCGTCCCTTCTGGGACATTATGGTGTAAAAGAAAGCGCAGTCGTGGACCTCGGCCAGCCCTGCATCTTGCGTTGGGCAATCATCTATCTGAGCTATCCAGGCAAAATAAGACCCGTTCATAAGGGTGTGGAAGGGAAAGAAGCAGAAAAATGAAGGAAGGGTAACAAGTTAGACAAGAAATGTACTCACTACCTTACTTATGTAACTGTAACCCCTCTGTACATCACCTTGACAATAAAATTAAAATTGAAAAAAATGAAAAATAATTCAGATACACACACACAGAGAGAGAGCAGCAGCAGCAGTTTTCCTTAACACACACTGTAAACCACTCCTGCAAACTTCTGTTCTATGCTTTCCTAGCAATTGGAAGGCCCTGACTTTCACCTTAAGTACCCCTCTCCCCCTAAAAAATAAAATCTTAACTCTGATTAAACAAGCTATCTCAAAAACAAGTAAAGCTATAATCAAGGATGTTTTCTCATGTTCAGATCAATATACAATATCCAGGAGATTATCTGGGGGAAAAGGTGCGATTTTGGGTCTTTGCCTACCTGTGGCAGCTTGGGCAGCTCTCCAGCTGGGGAACTGCATTATCCAAAGGCTCTGTCTCACAAATCTGACATTAGATGCTGGCTATGAGCACAAACACCTTCATGTGACTTCATGTGACCTGAGCTGCTTCAAAAGATGGTAGCTGGGTACCAAGGGACGTTCTTAGAAGTGACCCAGATGAATAATCTTTTACCATATCATATTATAGAGACAGACAGGAGGGTCTGTTCAACTTCAAGGAAAGAGGATAATGACACCCTCTCTAGGGAAGGATGTGCAAAGGTTCTGGGACAACCTGTGGGACTCAAAATATTGCTGTGATTATTTTTGTTTTTTGGTTTTTTGGGGGGGAGGGGTCCGGTCATGGGGCCTGAACTCTGGGCCTGGGCGCTGTCCCTCAGCTCTTCAGCTCAAGGCTAGCGCTCTACCACTTGAG